TTATAGAATAACCAATATATTAATGTTTAATCGGATTTTATGCCTTTTAATCTTCAGTAATTGATCTCTCTATTAATTCCAAAAAATCCATTAAAAATACAAAATTCGATATTCAAAATATATTTCTGATAAATTCTTAATTCGAGCAACTTCTTATATAACAAATGAGCTTAATATATTTTATAAAATGTTACCTAAATAAATGGTATCACATAATATCCAACATATTATAAATCTAAAACTTTTTCTTTTCATTATTTGTGATTTAATAATAAATGTATTTTCTAAGATCAACCTCATTTTTATTCTGCTACAAAATTTTCTCATATTTCTTGTCTTGCTTTAATTGATTCTATCGCATATTTAAGACAACTGAATGCCTCTATTTCTTAATTACTTTATTCAAATCTATCTGATTTTTCCATACTAATAAATTATAAAAACTATTTTCTGTTGTTCAGGATCCAAAAAATATATTGATAATTATTATTACTCTTAGAATTATTTAGGGATTCTAAGTAATCAACCTTCACATATCTATATCCTTGTCTGACTCTATATTCTAGAATAAAGAAGTAAACTTAAGCCATAGTTACTAGATTTCCTCTGGTTTTCGATTACATTTGAATGATACACCTTCTCCTCTTATTATTCTAATTGCTTTTAATAAACTCTTTTTTGCTAGAATTAGATATTATTAACACTAACTATTCTTTGAGTAAATAAAAGAAATGCAGAATATGTTAGTAGTATTTATTCCTTATTTAACCTCAACGATGTATTTTTTCATAGAAATCAAAATATTTCTTATTTTTTCCAGACAAATATTTTATAAAGTAATTTTATTGCAAGTTTAATAATAATTGAGCAAAATCTCATCTTTGACTTCTTGCTTTTAGAAAATACGATTATAATTTGAAACTACTTGGTACATTAATACTCTTATTAATTGAAGTATCAATTTTATGAACAATTTCATTAATTAAATTAATATCAAAAATATCTTATTGAAGAGTTATCACTTTCTGAATATGAAACCACTGATGATTCTTATGAATCAATCGTTATATAGTTTTCTTAAGCTAAGGTTAATGTTATCATTATGTCAACATATCTTAATGATGCTCTCTATCATAATTCAATATTCTTTAAATAAAGATTCTACCGATATTATATATAATAAATTTTATCAATATCCACAGTTTTGTATGTAAGCTTAATAGATTAAATAAAGTTAATAATAGGTATTTAAAAATTTTCAACCAAATTCTCTCTTCAATTCTAAAGCTTTCAGTATTTTTCTGTTAGTTATGTGTGTTTCTGGTCATCAGGAGGTATCGAATCATTCCATTCTAAATTAGAATACTAATATTCTCTTGAAATTTTATATTACCAAAGTCAACTTGATTAATCTATTAATCCTTCTCATTTTCAATTTATAGTAAAGATTAGAATGCTTAATTGATTTATCTATAGAAGACAAAGCTAATGATCATAAATAATTTAGCACTTACTGAATAGAAATTACTTTTTAATTTGTTGCTTAATTGACTAAGTAAATTAATAAGAGAAACTGCTCTTAAAGCCTCTCCTCTATATAATAAAAGCCAAACAAATTTTTCACAAGAATAAGGCCAATTCTGCAGGATTTATGTCATATCTATTTTTCATATTTGTCCTATTGATACTTCCTTTTAATCTTAAAATTTTTACAAATCTAATTGAATTCTAATTTTACACTTTCATCCCTTGAAAATTCTTCATCAATTGCAAATTTTTCATTAAGTTTTCTAATTCATGATTGGTATCTCTATTTATTTCTTAGATTAGTTTTTCACTTGCCTTTAGTTAATTCTCAATAAAATCTTGTTTTATTTTAAGAATAACATCTCTATGTATGAGCATAATCTTATTCTTCTTGAGGTAGTAATGAAGATCTAGTTTTCGTTTTCTTTTGTTTATTCTCAAACCTAGAAAGCTTATATTCTTGTATTAAGTTCTTCCTGTGTGAGTTATTTGTTATTTTATACTTCCTTAAATAGTAGTGGTGAGTTGTCAAATTTTAAAATTATCTCGAAATTCCAATTAAATTCTTCCATTTCTACTCCACCATCAATGATTAAACAAAATACGCCATAATTTTGGCTAATAACATTTTATTTATCAAACAAACAGTCTTTAGATAACTAAGTAAGTGAAGATGGTCTAATTAGTTCAGTATTGAGGAAAGGCGAATCAAATATATAATCCTATTTTGACAAATAAGGTTACAATTTCAGTTCATTTTTTGCCTTTTATGTACCTTAGAAACCATTATCTTTGACCTCTCTTAGCATATTAATACTTTTTTCCAATAAACAAAAGTTTACTATTCTTATACTTGATAAAGAAACGGAGCCATTTTTTTCTTTTAATAAGAAAAATTATCAAAAATTTACATTATTTAACATAACAATAAATTATTTACTCCAAATAGCAAATTCACATACACCTGTTATATTTTTCATTAATTGAGTCGATAATTAAATTAATTTTTCCCCCAACTTAATTCAAAAACATTATTAAATTTATTAGTTACCTGTAGGTTGCTTTTCAGGAGTTTAATTTTATTAAATTTTTTACTAAAACTATTATATTTTTATTATTAAATTGCTTATTTTTATTATTTAATATGCTTCAATTGATGAAATCTTTTAAGCTCTCAATATCTAAGTTAAAGACTAAAACAAAGCAATCCACATCAACTAGTCTAATTTTATTGATTTATAACATAATATGACTTTTCAAAGCTTAATACACTTCTCCATAATTAAACTTATTCATCTTTTTGCCTTTGACATGATACCAAATCTTCATATAGTTAAGCTTTTTAATTTTATACTCCTCAAATAACTTAATGACACCATCATTCCCTAATTTATTGGCTTCTTATCTTCAATCAATTCTGACAATAGTGCAGGGAAAAACTCAATATTTAATTGTATAAATTCTTATTAAATTGAAGTGATGTCATTTGAAAAAAACAACGCTAGGTTAAATTGATCATTAAAAAACAACAAGGAGTTGAATAATTGTATAATCTATATTACAGTACATAATAATCTCTTGATGAAAATCTTAATTTCTTGTTAATCAATAAATAAGAAGTCTATTTAATTGTTCTTTAAATAATTCTCCTTATTAATTTACATAGCATTTCAAAATTAATAGGATGCTATTTTGGTCGCCTTTATGAGTAGATACATTATTAATGCATTCTCAAAATTCTAATTTATTGGATAATTTACTAAATATCTTGTCTATTTAATTAGAGGGATTCTGAAAATAGGGTAGATCAATTTTTTCTTTCCATTTTTCAACAAATGAAGGAACATAATCACCAAACTCATCTTTCATATCTAAAATTCTGCTAAGTGATCTTAAACAGTAACATTCACTTCATATATTTCTCGTATCAATGTAGGAGGTGGTTATGCAGGTTCATCAGCATATAATGGTTTACCTTTCTTTTTGGCATCCTTTTTCTGTTTTTACTTATTCAATCATAATGATATTTGGTACTTAATACCATTTTCTATTAAATAATTTTAATTCAGCAGTTATGAGAAATTTGATTTAATTTCATACCTACTTTTAATATTACATACTTAAATTTTGCTGGTAATATACTTAAATTGGCATCCCAATATTATTTAGGTATTTAACTATTATAATTGATGCTTTAAGTAAAGACTGAATTCTTATAATGGTTTTTCTTACTAGAATGATTCTAACATATTAAAAAATTCAACTACAATTCTATTGGCAATTTAAAATTTTCTACAACTTAATGATGTCTCTAATGAAAGCAATAAATAATTGATACATCCTCAGTACCATTATAGGCTGCAACAGCAAACAATTTTTCTCATTTCTTTTTAATCCATTCATTGTAACAGTTGCTCTTATTTTCAATTGATTTCCTATAATTCCTGTGTTTAGATCATTACAAGTTAGTGATAAATTGAGTACGTTTGCACTAATTTTTCCAAATATCGCCTTACTAGTTAAAGTTGTTTTGCTTAATCAATAGCNCTTTGACATGATACCAAATCTTCATATAGTTAAGCTTTTTAATTTTATACTCCTCAAATAACTTAATGACACCATCATTCCCTAATTTATTGGCTTCTTATCTTCAATCAATTCTGACAATAGTGCAGGGAAAAACTCAATATTTAATTGTATAAATTCTTATTAAATTGAAGTGATGTCATTTGAAAAAAACAACGCTAGGTTAAATTGATCATTAAAAAACAACAAGGAGTTGAATAATTGTATAATCTATATTACAGTACATAATAATCTCTTGATGAAAATCTTAATTTCTTGTTAATCAATAAATAAGAAGTCTATTTAATTGTTCTTTAAATAATTCTCCTTATTAATTTACATAGCATTTCAAAATTAATAGGATGCTATTTTGGTCGCCTTTATGAGTAGATACATTATTAATGCATTCTCAAAATTCTAATTTATTGGATAATTTACTAAATATCTTGTCTATTTAATTAGAGGGATTCTGAAAATAGGGTAGATCAATTTTTTCTTTCCATTTTTCAACAAATGAAGGAACATAATCACCAAACTCATCTTTCATATCTAAAATTCTGCTAAGTGATCTTAAACAGTAACATTCACTTCATATATTTCTCGTATCAATGTAGGAGGTGGTTATGCAGGTTCATCAGCATATAATGGTTTACCTTTCTTTTTGGCATCCTTTTTCTGTTTTTACTTATTCAATCATAATGATATTTGGTACTTAATACCATTTTCTATTAAATAATTTTAATTCAGCAGTTATGAGAAATTTGATTTAATTTCATACCTACTTTTAATATTACATACTTAAATTTTGCTGGTAATATACTTAAATTGGCATCCCAATATTATTTAGGTATTTAACTATTATAATTGATGCTTTAAGTAAAGACTGAATTCTTATAATGGTTTTTCTTACTAGAATGATTCTAACATATTAAAAAATTCAACTACAATTCTATTGGCAATTTAAAATTTTCTACAACTTAATGATGTCTCTAATGAAAGCAATAAATAATTGATACATCCTCAGTACCATTATAGGCTGCAACAGCAAACAATTTTTCTCATTTCTTTTTAATCCATTCATTGTAACAGTTGCTCTTATTTTCAATTGATTTCCTATAATTCCTGTGTTTAGATCATTACAAGTTAGTGATAAATTGAGTACGTTTGCACTAATTTTTCCAAATATCGCCTTACTAGTTAAAGTTGTTTTGCTTAATCAATAGCTACAGATGGAAAAATAGATTTTTTATTGAAATTGAATAAATATTATAACAATCGCATTATCTCTCCTTAATCTTATCTAATAATTTAGGTTTGAAGTATATTATTCTTCCTTCTCTACTTATTGTAAGAATTTTAAAGTATCTACTAATGTATTCAGTTTATTTCTACTTCATGTTAGCTAAAAGAATATAAAATCATTTAAAGCATTTATTAGTATATCAGTTTCATTAAGTTCTTATGAAATTTAAAGAGTACTTGTGTCTTTATTTTCATCATCTAAAAAAGATTAATATGCTTCAAGTAATTCATATTCTTCCTCATTTAAAATATCTTTCTAATTATTATATTTTTATTTAATCTATTTTTAATTTTCTGATTGCCTGTTACAATTACAAGAGTAGGCAACTCCTAAGGATTGAATTATTATCTATTTGAATTTTGAGCTCAATTATGAAAGGCAATTATGATAAGCAGCATCTCCAAATAATAGATTATCTTATTCATCAAAAATTAAAAATATATGCCTCCTTCTATATTATTTGAATTCATAATGACAATTTTTTTGAATTTTTGATAAAATTCAGTTTGATCATTCTTCAATAAACAAGATAATTAATCCCATAAATTTTAATAAGAATAGTAGTAGGGCATTGTCTGATAGTATATTGAATTAAAGTTCTGAACTAAATTAACATTTTGGTAGGATCAAAATATGATGAGTCCTACTTTAAACTAGTTTATTAAGTTTATATCTTTAGAAAGTCATTGATTGTTTTGGTATTTACTTCATATAACACATCAAAAGATTATTTTCATGATTAAATCCTCCTTATATCCATATTCTTTAATTAGGCTTCATTCGAAAATGAATTCCGAAAACAATTTTCTAAGATGTTCCTTAGCTTTTCTAAATTTTCCTCTGTTATTAAAATAAAAGTAAATGATAAATAAATCACAATATTCATTTCTGGCATTAATAATAACATATTCAAAGGTAATTTGAATTAGCAACTTTAGTATATCACTACAATTATTTGAAGTAAAACTTTTATGAATACCAGTAATAATTCCACCTAATTTTTTAATTAAAAATTATGACAAAGAAATAAATAATTTCTAGGGGGAGGAGTTTAATTTGACTTGTCGACAATCATAAAACAAAGTATATGAGGAGCATATTATTTAACTAATTTGAGAGTTTATTATTTAATTGATGACTCATACAATGAACGAACTTGAATTAAAATTCTGTGTTAAGCTTGAGACACTATTGATTCATAATGCCAGGTTTAAAAGAGAGTGTCTAGCTCTGTACTTGGAGGGTTTAGTTTGAAACCATACTAATTCATGTCTTTATAGTATTTATCTTTGTAAATTATGTAAACTATTTTATGTGATTTTATTTATATGTTTTTTTTCATATTTATTTTATAATCCTGCAAATTAACAAATTAATTTTCACAAGAAGTGAACTTTCCACCACATTAATAAAAAATCTCTTTATCACTATTTGTATTTTCAATTTAAGATTAGAAATTATTTTCACATAAATCTAATTAATTCTTTTCTGTGTAGAAAAGGGTAAATTCTTTAAAGAATTATGTATCTATTCTATTAATTTTTCTTAAATTTCAAGCATTTGATTTTCTATTTTTTTTATGTATTTGGAGGTTTAGTGTAGGGATTATTTATTTAAATATCATAAAAATATTATCAATTAATATATTTATAGAGATGAAATTATAAATGATACTACTTTTAATTAATAATCTAAACAGAGAATAGTAGGCTAATTGAAGAGATTAAAATAAAGATTGATATAATTACTTAAAGAAAACTTAATTAAAACAACATTCTTTTATAATTCATTAAGATATTATATGATAGATTTACTTAACTTATTATTATTGCTAATAGGTATTGATATTAACAATAATTAATAAATAATTTTGATTTTTCATAATTCATAAATAGCAAAGATATCAAAAAGATAATAACAATGATACTTCCAGAATTCAAAAGTTAATCTAACAGCAAATTTATTTTAGCAAATTACCAAGAATAAAAGGAAAATATGACCAGTTTTGTTATACATATTCATAATTGATAGTTGTTAAAATATTTTATTATTTATCTCTATTAATGAATAAACCCCCTTTAATATTATTTTATAAAAAGCAAAAAATCAATGATATATATTATTATGTTCATGATTACAATTATTGTTATTTTCCTTGAATAAATTCAATTGAGTGGAAGATCGGATTGAGTTTTTCTTCGTATAAAAGAGAAAGGGTAGGCTTTGTTAATCATTACTACCATAAGCTAATGTATTTCCATCAGGAAGACTGAAAACATTCTGTTAGTATGACAATCAAATTTGGCTTTTTGTCATTCCGTTTTTAAGAGTAATTCGCACCACAAGATGATAAGATATTTCTATCAGGAAAAATATATGGAGTTATATTATTAATTATGAATTTATTTTTTTTTGAAACTTTCCATTATCATTATCAGATCAACTTATCAATATAACAAAATCACTCTGACCATATATTGGGCTTTTTATTATCCTCATTTAACATCCGATAGACAGATAGACTTATCACTACTACCAGAAGCTATTATCCTACTATCATTAGAGAAACAAACTTTACCTAATTGTAATTTTCTAGTTTGGCTTTCTCAACACCAGATTTGTCTGTATTTCAATCAATAATCAAGAATAACACACATTAATCTAACATTACACTTTATGCATCTATTTCAACTTTTTATTAACTGTTTTAACATCACATAAATAGATAGATTAATCTTAATTACCTCAGTTTATGTATTTCTATCAGATGAGAAACAGATTGAATTTACCCATTTATCATGACTATTTGAAATGGCTCCTATGAACTTGATTTTGCATCTTTTTAGGCAGATAGATTGATCCCAACTATCAGAATCTTCTATTTTTCACTAAAAGACTTACTTTACCCAATTCTTCTGGTAATTGCATTCTGTTACTCTTGTTAGCATCCCTTTAAATTAATAGACTAAATTTACTACTAGAAGCTCATGTATGTCTATCACAAGAGAATCAAAATAACATTACTCAAATCCTATGGTCATTTAAATTTGCTTTTTATTATTCTATTTTTTACAATCCTTAAAGACAATTAGACTCATATCTACTATCAGAATTTATTATATTTCTTTTAGAAGACCAACATTAGCAAATACTTCTGACTATCTGTCTTGGTTTTCAATCAAGTAATTTTAAACATCCTTGAGAGACTACATATATGTTTAAACCCTAACAGATGTTCTCTATTGATCTTCTAAGACATCAAGAACAGTCCAAAATGGCACATTATGATCTCTAAACTTCAAAGCTCTTTAAATAGATCTAATTTGAGAAGCCTTACTATTCATATTTATTCCTACTAAATAGAAAAGATCTACTCCTTTTTTTAAACTCTTTTACTCGTTACTTCACTCATCCTAGTACTAAAATCACACATCTTACATATTTTAAGTAGTGATAAAGATTTTGTTCAGGCATATTCCGATCTGTAAATCGTTAACTGAAATCGTTAATTATACTTAAATAAAGATGATAAACAAGAAGGATGTGTCAAAAATTAAAGAACTCAAATTATGTATACATTAAAAAGTATTCTTCAAGAATCTAGCTATGGAAATGTTAAATGAATTTTCAATGTTATATTCTACCTCTTTTCTTATCAATTTCCAATATACGCAATGTCTGAACTTCAAATTTACTAAAATGCTAAAGATATTATTATCGATTTTTTTCATTATTTTAACCTAAAATTAGAGTCATAAAAATTCAATATTAAAAATTAAAAAAAAAATGTAGAGCTCTTTTTACTAGAAGGGCGCTCTAACTGACATCTTTGATTCAGTAAAAGATGTAGATATACAAATCTTTGGTGTCATACTAGAAATATTAAGAAAGGAGCAAGGTAAAGATTGCATTGGATTTTTATCAGATATTGGGAATCAGAAACAATTAGAATTATAAATTTTATAATAAGTTTGGGATATTACCCAAGCTGATACAGAATAAAAATTGTCTCTTGTAAGAAAAGACATAAAATAAATGACAGATGTCTTAAAAAAATTAAAAGATCATGACTTCAACATCAAAGACTTTTCCTCTAAAAAAAATGAAGAATCTAAATTAAGTCTAATTAAAAGCATCAAGGTTAATAGAAGGATCATTGAATTTCTCTAATTTTTAGTTCACCTCACATCAATTGATGAAAAGTTGGTTTAATGTGGGTCTAATTCCTTACATATTTTAGTTTAGATGAAGGTGGACCTTAGAAACAAAAATTTTGAAAATATTATTATCTAAAATACTTCCCTAATAGGAGCTAATTTTGTTAAGTGTAATTTAAGTGGATCTTAATTTAATAATGTCAAAATAAGTGGAATAAATCTGAATGGGGCATTGTTATATAATTGTAAATGGAGTGACTTACAAATCTCGGAATTATATAAATTACATGGTCATAGTGATTGTATAAATACAGTCTGTTTCTCTCCTGATGGAATTACATTAGCTTTTGGTAGTGCTGATAAATCTATTCGTCTTTGGGATGTCAAAACAGGTTAATAAAAAGCTAAATTAACAATTCATAGAGGAAGTGCTTGGTCAGTATGTTTCTCTCCTAATGAAAATATATTAGCTTCTGGAGATGATAATAGGTCAGTAATATTATGGGATATTAAAACAAGAAAGAAAAGAGTAAAATTAGTTGGTCATAGTAAAACTGTCTAGTCAGTCTGTTTTTCTCCTGATGGAAAAATATTAGCATCTGGTAGTGATGATAAGTCTATCCGTCTATGGGGTGTCAAAACAGGATAATAAAAAGCCAAATTAGATGGTCATAGTAGTTGTGTGAATTCAGTCTGTTTCTCTCCTGATGGAAATACAATAGCTTCTGGTAGTTGGGATAACTCTATCCCTCTATGGGAAATCAACAACAAGTATTGTTCAGATTATAGATATAAAGAAATTTAGGTTAAAAATACAAGATATCCTTTTTTTAACACTCCTTTGCAGTAAAAGAATATTATTTAAAATTTAGATACATCTAATATTATGGTTTACCCAGACTTCAATTTTTCAAGGTTTAAGAGGGTTTTGTTAAAAAAACCGTTTCCTTTTAGGAATTATTGGAGTAACACTTGATTAATTTAACAACAAACCTATATTAACCCTTAATTTAAATCTATTTTAATATACTTCTTGTGTCCAATATTTGTTGATAGAGTTCTATTTTATAGTTATTTTCTTTTTTAACAATCTTGAAGCATTACTAAAATGGAAATTAATTTAGCACATTTTAAAATATTTTGATATAGAACTTTTAGTTACATGAATGCAATAATATCTTAAATCTTTGTATACTGTATTTTTGGTATTTTTCTTATCATAAGCAACCACGCATTTTTTCTCAATTTATATTTAGAATGTGAATAGTACCAGATTTATAAAGAAGATAAAGTAGATTCTACAACCAAACCTTTCGACATTTATCATTTCTAAGTTTTCTAATCTTCGTATTCCTTAAGAGTCAATATATTCTAATATTGAATTTCATAAATTAATAATTTTCTCAACTCAGATTTAATTAACAGTAATACTATTATTTTTATTAAATTGATTTTATAAACTCTAAATTTTAATAATGTTATTGAAAAATTTATTTTGGAAATTTAAGAGAAAATACTCATGCATTTAAGTGTGGTTAATTTGAATGCTTTTTATATATTTAAATAATTTATCGTTCAATTTATCTTAGGAGATTGTTATAGAGAAGATAAATTTTATTAAGATTGTCCATTGTGTTTATCCATACCAATAATTATTT